GGGCAGGGCGCGGGCCTCGCCGCTAGTTTGACTAGTAGAAGGAGTCGATGTCCGCGAGGAGGACTCGCTCCTTGCCAGGCTTCAGCTGAAGCGCCGCCACAAAGTCAGCCTCCATCCGCGCCTTTTTGAGCTCCGCCACCGTGTCCAAGCCCTGCTCCTCGAACCACGCGCCGGCGGCGGCCACCGAGCCCGATAGATTGCAGCCGTGCAGCAGCTCGGCCAAGCCCTCGACGCAACTGCCCAGCTCGGAGCCGGACGCGCGACCTAGCGGTGGGAACACCGACTGTGAACACGGACCCTTCCCCACATGCGTGCGGCGGGCAGCTGCGCAGCATCGGGAGCCGGGCGCCGGGCTCGCCTCCAGCCGGCGCCGACGTGGCGTGCAGAGAGTCGTCCGCGGGGATGTGCAGGCCCCACGCGAGCAGGTACGTGCGGCGGAGCGCCCAGCCCATGCCGGGGGAGCAGCCGTCCTCGGCGGCGCCCTCGGCGGCGGCGAGCATCATCTCCCGCCCCGCCTCGCGCCTCTCACCGTCGAGAGAGTCGAGCTCCGCGCCTGAGCCCAGCTGCTCCGTCGCCGACGGCCCTCCCCCGCCGGCGTCGTCCAGCTCCGCCTCCGCCTTGCCGGCAGCGTCGCCGCGCGACGGCTCTCGCGACGGCTCGGAGCCGCGCGCTGTGCCGAGCGCGCTCAGCTCCGAGTCGTTCCTCGGCACACTCCTCACGGGCAGCTGAACCTTCTCGGAACCTTCCTGCAAGGACACGGCCAACCCGCCGCCCGCGGCCGGGTCGGGCTCCGCGTCCGGCTCGGCAGCCTTGCGCGCCGGCTTGCCGGCGTCGCGCCAAAAGTGGAGCACGGCGTCGAGCGGCACGCGCAGCTTTTGCGCCGGCTCCGCCTTGCGGCCGTCGGCGGCGGCGGCTGCGGCGGCGCGCACCGCGTCGTCGAGCTCGGCGTATGCAAGGCGGAGCTCGCGGCGGCGCAGCTTGCCCGAGGTTGTCTTGAGGATGGTGCGCGCGCGGAGCAGCACCACCGCGTACGCCTTGACGCCCTCCGCCTCGCGCACCCCGTCGCGAACCGCCTCGGCGATCGCCGCGCCGCCGCCCGCGGCAGCCGCCTTCTCCGCCTCGGGCTTGAGTTCGGCCACGAGAACGAGCGCCTCGCCGTCCGTGTCCTGCCCCGTGTCCGGCGGAACCACCGGCAGCGCGGCGCAGCAGCCGGGTCGCATCGCAGTGTGGGCTGCCTCCGCACACGTCTCGATGTCGTGCGCGTGCAGCGTGCGGCCGCGGATGCAGAGGATGTCCTTGATGCGGCCGACGATGTACAGCCGCGACTCCCACACGAAGCCGAGGTCGCCCGTGCAAAGGAACGGCTCACCCTTTCCGCACGGAGGCAGCTCCCCGCCACCACCGCCGCCGCCGCCGCCGCTGCCGCCGCCGCCGCCGCCGCCGCCGCTGCCCCGCTCGCCCACGGCCGCGCCCTTCTCCTCTCTCAGCGCGGAGGGCGGCGCGGGCAGGGCGAGGGGCGTGCGGAAGGTCTGCTCGCTCAGCTCCGGCTGCTGCCAGTAGCCGAGGGCGACGCTCGCGCCTCGGATCCGGACCTCGCCAACCACTCCGTCCGGCAGCGGCAGCCCCGTCTCAGGGTGCGAGATCGCGAAGCGCTGCCCGGTGAGCGCCGCCTCCTCGACGAAGCAGCCGGGGAACTCGATCAGGTTGTCGTCGCCCGGCTGCAGCGGCATCGGCGCGTCGCCCGGGCCGAGCCGTGAGCGGGGCACCTCGAGGACGACGGGAGGCTCGGCGACGCCGCAGCCGTACACACACGTCTCGGCGAGGCCGTAGAGGCATGCCCACGAGGAGGGGTGCCACCCGCACGGCGCGAACTTTGCGTCGAAGTCGGCGAGCGTGCGCGTGCGGATGGGCTCGGCGCCGTTGAAGGCCGCCTTCCAGTGCGAGAGCTGCAGCTTCGCGATGTGGTGCGGCTTTGCGCGGCGCGTGCAGAGGGCGAAGCCAAAGTTTGGCGACGGCGAGATGACGAGGTGCGAGTGCTGGAGGCGCGAGATGGCGAGGAGCCAAGACATGGGGTGCTTGATGAAGGTGAAGGGGGAGAGGAGGTCGGAGCGGTAGCCCTGCATCGCCGTCGAGAGGGAGCCCGCGATGAGCCCAAAGTCGTGGTACTGCGGCAGCCACGAGACCATGGCGATGCGGGAGCCCGGCGGGGGGAAGCTGTTTGTGGTGGTGGAAGAGTAGGACATGGCAAGCACCTGCGGACGCAAGGCGTGGGCGTGCCGGCGCCGCTCCGCAGGCGTGGGCGTGAACGGGGGGGAAGGGGGCGGGGCGTTGGGGCATCGATCGGCGGTGTGGCGGGGGTGCAGCGTGGGGGGCGGGCAGGGCGAGCAGACGGAGGAGGGGCAGGGAGGGGTGGGGGAAGCGTCTCGGAAATGTCTCGGAAGTGTCTCACGTTGGCGAGCAAGTTGCGCGTGCCGATGGCGACGCCCTTCGGGTGGCCGGTGGAGCCGGAGGTGTACTGCAGGAAGGAGACCTAGGGGTAGGGGTAGGGGTAGGGTTAGGGTTAGGGTAAGGGTTAGGTTGAGGTGTACTGCAGGAAGGAGACCTCGTCGCGCGGCGACGGCTCGCAGCGGCCGGGCAGCCATTCGCTGAGCCAGTCGGCGTCGCCGCGGCCGAGGCGGGGGGAGACCTGCCGAGAGGGAGGAGCGAGGGGGTGGGGCGGAGGGGGAGGGGTTTGGACTGTGGAGTGGGAGAGGGTGGAAGGGACAGGGCGGAGGAGAGAGCGAGGCGCGAGGCTGCGGGGCTGGGTGGTGCGAGCCTCATCGGTGCAGCGCCAGGTCCACTCGGGCGGCCAGCTGCACTCGGCCTCGCGCACGAGCTTGCTGGCCAGCCACGAGGCGCGCACGTACGTCCGCGTCGACAGGAAGGCGTGCGGTGTGCACGACTCGGCAATCCGCTTGACCTTTGCGAGCCCGTCGGCCAGCAGCCGCTTGGCGCCGACCGACGGGAGGGGCGTGAGCGGGAGGACGGGAGGGTAGTAGGGCACAGCGATCACCGCCGCATACTGGCACCCGAAGAAGGCCACCAGCAGCTCGAGGCCGGGCGCATACACCAGCATAAGCCGGTCGTTTGTGCTCGCGCCCCAACGCCGCCGGAGCGCCACACAGACAGCCCGGCAGCGGGCCCGCATCTCGGCGTACGAGAGGGTCGCCTCCTCGCTGGCATCCGCCGTCAGCCAGCTATAGAGCCGCTCCTGAGGCAGGGGAGGTTCGGTTGATCCTGCGACGCCGGTTGGTCCTCTGGCCGCCATCGCCACGGCACACCTCGCCCAGCAGCTCCGCGTTCGCCTCGAAACGGCCGACGAAGGAAGTGGCGGGCGAGCGCTTGGTGCGAGGGGCCTCGGACTGGAACGCGTTGCACATAGTTCCAAAAGCAACAGTGCGAGCGCGACACGCTGCGCTCGGGAGGGCCTTGAGGAGGCGCAGCGGGGCACGAAAAGAGGAGCCCCGGCGTCGCAATGTGTCGTCCCCCCGTCACGCCTCCCTGGCGAGGTACTTCCAGCTCTGCGGGAACAGCTGAACGCTGCTCGAAGGTCTCGGTGTTAGGTGTATTGTTGGCTCGGGTTGACTCGGTCAGACTAAAAACCCCGACAGTGCCTCGCCAGACGGGTTCTTATTCAATCCGCAGGAACCACGTTTTCTTCATCATCTGGCCCATCCATCCAGGGAGTGCCGGTGGCACCGAAGCGGAACGACACGCTCAAGCGAACCTTGGAGAAACATGGCCTCGTTGCTAGCTCGCGTTCTCTGCGCTGACAGGAAGGGCGAGGTGAGCAAGTGGTGTGCCGTGGCAAGCGGATGCGCGACGCTGGTGCTCTACGCGGATATGTGGGTGGACGCTCGGCGTCGCTCATCACTCGCCCATTCGCTGGAGGCGCTCGAGTCTGAGGCGCACGAGAGGGCGCGGCTGACGCGTCGAGGGTTAGCCGAGCGGCGCGAGGCGCCAGCGCTCTGGATTGGGCATCTATCGAGAACCAGCCTCAGCCTCAACGGGCCAGCAATGCTTCCCGCCGCACGCCGAGGCACGCAAGTGGAGGTGGTTGAGGAAGGCGCGCGACTGCTGACGGTGAGGAACTGCCGCACGGGCGAAGTTGGGTGGTACCCGAGGAACTGGGTGCAAGCCGCGTGAACATAACCAGTTCCCGTCCACAGCACGCCCAGCGCGTCGCCGAGAGGCGAGAGCTGTGCTCCGGCGGCACTGTGTACACTTCCTAGGGGGAGAGAGGGCGGCTCGGATTGATTGCCCTCATGGCATCTGTGAGTCGGGGCCTCGCACGCAGCTAGTATGCATACTAAATTTCAGTACTGGGAAAATCGGGCGCAAGTGCAGAAAACGCAACACTGCCCTCTCCAAAAGCCGCTCCAAGTCGCAAGTGCACACGCTGTAGCCTGGCGCGCGCGCCAGATCGTCGCGCCGCCCTGTCTCCCGTTTTTTGCTTTTTCCTTTTAGTCTCATCTCGTCGAACTAACTAAACATGGGGTCGCAGATGTGGACTCGTCACTCGATCTGGATTCTGGTGGGCTCGTGTGCTGTTCCCCTTCTGGTGGCGGTGCTCCAAGTCTACTTCTCGAAGCAGCGCGGGCTCTCGAGAGCAGCGGAGCCCGTCGCAGCCAGAGGCGCAGCGCCGCAGCCGCCCTGGGAGCACGGACGGGCCGCAGCTGGACTCGCTTCCACTTTTTCGGCCGCAGGCGGCAGGGCCAGCAGGCGCCCACACACACAGCGTCAGCGTCAGCGTCAGCGTCAGCGACGGCGTGGCCAGGAGGACCACAGTGTGGTACGTGTGTGCGCGGAGTCCGGCGAGAGAGATATCGTGTAGACGTTGATCGTTGTGTCTTTTCGCACCTTTGAGACACCACCCCCTTCTCTCTATTGAGTCTCTCTATATAACGTACATTCAAGTAACATAACTTTATAACAAACCGTAAGAGACCTCGTGTGCGTGGAGAAGTTTACCTTACGTCGCCTTACACTTCCGACATGCAGCATGCCATGCATGATCTCACACAAGTGGCGTCACCGTCACCGGCGGCTGGCTACTCCACAGCGTGCGTAGCAGCCGGCACCAGGCGTCACGGCGGGTCTGAGCGCCGGGTGGAGGCGAGGGCGGTGGGGGGGGCCTCACCACCGAGGGTGGCTCCGGCAGCGGCGGCGCATGCGCGGAGGCGACCTGGATCACGAACGGCGCCGGTTGATCCTCGAAACGAAGCCGTCGCCTGACTGGCTCCGCCACGTGCACGGCCTTGGGTGACGGAGGTGGTCGTTGGCTGCCGAGCAGGGCGAGGATAAAGCCGAAGCAGAGCAACGCGCCGACAAAGGCCACCGAAAGCCGTCCAGCGGCGACCAAGTAGGGATGTGGGTTGTCGCGGAACAGCGGAGGCGTCGCCGCAGGTGACGGCGGCGGAGAGCTAGGCGGGAAGGGTGGAAACAAACGTGTGGTGGCAGCGGCGTTGATAAAATGGCAGCAGAAGGAGAAGCAGGGACTGCCGTCGTCGGCCGCGAAGCCTTGAGCTGCGGCGCGGCTGGATAGACTCCGCCCAAAGAGAGTGAGCCAGGGTCTGTCCGTCTCCACCACGCCGCCGCTCGGTCGGATGTTGACATGCGGAGGAAGGCACGGCCAAGACGCAGTCCAGGAGCAATCACACGCGTCGGACATGACAGGACTGGCGAGGGACTGGGACTGAAGCTCGCAGCTGATCCTGCGTGGCGCACTGAAGCCGCAGCCTGAGCAGCTCTCGTGAGACGTCAATCCCAATGCTCGAACCCGGCGGGCAGCCGAAACCCATCTCCTCCTGTGTTCGTGCCGCGGAGGAAAATTCGGATTTCTTTTTCAAGGGCTGCCGTGTCTTCTCTCTCTCAAGGTGTGTGCCTTTTAATGCCAAAGAAAAATATTGTACCGCTCGCGCCCGAATTTCTGCCTCCTCGTGATCCAACCCGCCATCCCCCTCGCCCGTCGCCCTCCCGCCGCCTCGCCGCTACCTCGCCCTCGTGATCCAACCCGCCACCCCCCTCGCCCGTCACCCTCCCGCCGCCTCGCCGCTACCTCGCCCGCTCGCGCCCGACTTTCTACCTCCTCGTGAAACACCCCGCCCATCTCATCCTGTGTTAAAATAAATAAATAAAACGGACACACAGAACCAGCTGCTGCCGAAGAAGGTCGAGGCGTTGGCTGGCCAGCGCATCGTCGCTGTGTCGGCGGGAGACGCGCACAACCTCGCGCCCTCACCGCCGACGGCAGCGTCTGGAGCTGGGGCTTTGGAGCCGGTGGCCGGCTCGGCCACGGCGACCAGCAGAACCATCTGCTGCCAAAGAAGGTCGAGGCCTTCGCTGGGCGGCGCGTCGTCGCTGTGTCGGCTGGAGCCGCGCACAGCCTCGCCCTCACCGCCGACGGCGCTGTCTGGAGCCTCTCGAGCCAGCGCGGCACGCCCCCGCTCGAACTGATTCGGACGGAGAGGGGGGCGCCGCTGCAGACCGCTGCCAACTGGCGCTGGCTCGTGCTCCTCGACATGACGGGCGTGCACATCCTCGACTTTGCGGCGCGTGGCCTGCCCAGCGGCAAAGCCAAAGCACGCACACTTCCTGCGGAAAAACATCGGGCGGTCCTTAGGAATTTTGTTGTTTTAGCGCGCGGGCACCACCGCCGGAGACGATATGTAGTGACAAGGTCGGGAGGCGTGAGAGGAGAGGGCCTGCGTGATCACTCATCATCCTCTGGCATCAGTACAGAAACTTCTGCCAGTCCTCGCGTACTCGCCGCACAGGAGGCACACTGGCACCGACACAGACAGACATGGCACGGACGACGGCTTCCTTCGTCATCCTTACTCAAAAGCCGTCATCCGACTGCCACTGGCGCCCGCCCCACCACACCCCACCCACCCCGCCCTCCAAGCTCCATCTCGACCCGAGCCACGCCGCCCCGACCCGATAGCTCGTCTACCGCCAGGCCTCCTCAGTCTTCCTCCTCAGATGCCTCCTCAGATGCCTCCTCGTCGTCGTCGCCAGACTCTTCGTGGCTCTCGTCGCCGCTGGAGTCGCTGGCGTCGTTCAAGTCGTCAGAGGAGTACCGAGGCGAGCCATCGCCATCAGCATCACAAGGCGATGACGACGGCGACGACGGCGATGGCGATGGCGATAGGACAAATGTTGGGTCGCGCTTCTCCTCTACCTCCTCTTGCGGGTAAAAGTACTCAGCGATACGCTCGTGGATCAGCCTGGCCTCCTCACCCTGAACGCAATGCGTCGCGTAATGCGTGCATTCATTGTACAGGTCCCAGAGGCTCGCCTCGTCGTCGCGGTCGTCAAACGCTTCGTCGATGGCACGGTTGAGGGGAATGAGCTCCTCATCACAGAATGCGGCCCGAAAATCTTCGCGATCGTCGTCCGTGAGGGCGTGGCCCTTCATCGCGAGCCACAGCCCCTTGCACCGCGGCGCAGCGTGCTCGAGCATCTCTTGGATCTGCGCGTGGAGCGTCGTCCAATCGTGCTGGCGGTAGTGGACAAATTTGAGCGCCGCGAACAGGTACGAAGGAAAGTACATGCCGTTGGTACAAACAAACCGCACTGCACCGAGGGCGATTTCGAGTGCCTTGGACTTGTCATAGCTGTTGAAGGCAACCAGCTGAAATCGCACAAGATCCTCGCTTTCGCCTTGCAATGCGACGTTGACTTGCGGGAAGCAGGGGTGGCTGACGACGGCAAGCATCATAGCTTGCGTGCTCAGGTTTCTGAAGTCAACGCAGATGGTGCCGCCCGGGCCAAAGAGATGCGTCACAGACTCATTCAGTCGCCCAACGAGGTCCTGGTGTGGCATGAGCGAGTACGCGGCGGAGACACGCTGGATGGTTATCCAAGTCTCTTCCTCTGGGCGACGGATCTGCGTAGCCCAAGGCAGGTCCGACTCGTTCGTCTGGTAATGCCACGCTTCACCGGGCTCCATCTCGGCCGGCGTGGCGGCGGCCGCGGCGGCCGCGGCCAGCTCCTTGGTCCGCAGCTCGCCCACGTTGGACTCGTCGAACGTTTGCGCCTCGGGCACAAAGCGCTTGTGCATTGCCATCTGCTGCTCGTTGAAGCAAACCTTGCCCGTCTCCGTGCAGACCCACACCTTCTCCTCGAGCGAGACCTGGGCAAAGGCCTGCAGCCCTGTCTCCTCGCTGTGGAGCTTCGCGTCGGCCTCGTTGTAGAAGAGCTTGCCCGTCTTCTCGCACTTGATGACCACCTCGACATGGCGCACCTCAAAAAAGCTGTCCGTGCCCTTGAGCTGCACTTTGCACTGCGCTGTCGTACACAGGCGCTTCGAGCTGCGCGTAATCATGCCCGGTGCGTCTTGCCGGCTTCGGCGAATCGCGTTCTCGTCGATGAATATCTGAAGTTAAAGGCGAGTGTTGGGCGTCAGCTTATTTGGCGAGGGCGCACAAGAGAGAGAGGAGCATGTCTTATCGCAGGGCATCTCATCGTGGTAGGCAGGGGACGCTGTCTGATACACGGAGGATCGCGAGGCGGACCGGGTCCCAGCTAGGAAGGTGACCGCGGGTGCTCGTCGTTTCAGGGCGCAAAGGAAGGCTCGGAGAACCGCCAAGTCGCCCCCGCCCGGCAATTGTATCACGCCCTCTACGCTGGAGTGCCGGCGCACTACTGGGCGCCGGGTAAATCGGAAAGTGGCCACGACGCCTTCAAGCAGGAGTGTTTTGCGATGCCTGTTGTATGCCTAGCTAGAGCTGAGTGAGGCAGGTTCGAGCGAGGGGAAGTTGAAGTTCAATACCCGAGTCGATCGGTCGGTGGCGGCTTGCCCGGCGGCTCGGCGGCTCGGCGGCTCGGCGGCTCGGCGGCTCGGCGGCTGGGTGCTCGGCGGCGCGGCGCGGCCTTTAAAACGGCGAACGCGGCGGTCCACCTTAGACCGCATGCAGCATCGTGCTCGGAAATCGTCGGTTACAAAAGGTTTGGAATTTGTTGACACGCGTCGCGCTCAAGGAACTGCCCGGAGGACCGATTTGGCGACACGCTGTCCGAAATGGCTAATGTCGAAGAGGAGCTGGAGCTGCGCTCGGACGCTCTCGGCCCGGTGCCAAAGCCAATCAACGGAGGCGACAACGCGTACCTGCAGTGCTCGGCTCACACCGGCCCGATTCGGGCAGCGTTCGAGTCAGCACTCGGCGTCAAGGTCCAGCACGGCATTTTCGGCGGCAAGATCTGGAACATGCTGCTGCAGCTCGAATCGACCGACCGTGTCAAGGCAGTGGAGAGGCTGGAGGAGGAGCAAGGCATCTCGCGCGCGATCATACAGCGCAAGGGCAAGCCAGTGTATGTGGTGTGCATATTCGCCTCTCGCTCCCTCTCTGACCTCCCGGTGCCATGTACTGACCCTATCCTCTCCTGCATGCCAGGTGTACATGTCAAAGGAGGAGAAGGAGAAGCGCAAGAGCCAGACTCTGGAGGACACCCTCTCGGAGCGTGCCAAGGTGATCAAGATCCCAGAAACGCAGCTCGCAAAGATCGACGCGTGCTGGCTGAAGAAGCAGGAGTATAAGGAGGCGTGCAAGGCGCTGCACGAGGACACGGACGAGTGCCTGACGCGCGTGGAATCCATCACGGCGCCGGCCTTCCGCGCCTTTGAGGAGCGCGCCGCTGCCTTCACGGCGCAGAAGGAGGAGAAGGACACGCACAAGCTCGAGCAGCTGATGAAGTCGGCGGAGGCTGAGCTGAGCTTTGCCAAGGAGAAGCTGGCCACCTGCCGCAAGGACAAAAAGAACTTCACTTCCGACCTGCGCAAGTACAACACGCGGCGCGACGAGCTCAAGGAGCGGGCGGTCCATCTCGCGCTCGACTCGAACTCTGACATTGCCAAGAGCGCGGAGATCCAGCTGGAGCGGCGGCGCCTCATTGACACCATCTCTGAGACGGAGGGCAAGGTCTCGTCGCTCGCCGTCTCAATCTCGGATTATGAGAAGTGCGCTACGACGCTGGAGGCGCAGATCAAAGACCTGGCGGCCAAAGTCGACCCGAAGACCGACGGGCAGCCGTCGTCGAAGCGGCAGCGGCTCTGACTCGGTCGGTCGGGGTGTCTTGGCGTTCTTGCCGGGCAGGAGAACGCCGGGCAGGAGAGGTTCTAGGCTCCCCTAGCTGCAAGACAAGAGCATGCGCGCTAGCAGGCTGAGTCGAGAGGGAGAGGGTGTGCCGGCGCACTACTGGGCGCCGGTAAATCGGAAATTTTAGTGGGAAGGAAAGTGTTTTGCGATGCCTGCCTTCTCAGTATGTATCTGCCTAGATAGAGCTGAGGCATGTATGGGATGTTCACTATACTCGAGTAGATCGGTCGGTGGCCTTGCCCGGCGGCTCGGCGGCTGGGCGCGACTCGGCGCGGCCTTTAAAACGGCGAACGCGGCGCGGTCCACCTTAGACCGCATGCAGCATCGGTGCTCGGAAATATTTCGTCGGTTACAAGGGGCGATGAAGTCGTCGACACGCGTCGCAGAGCGCATCAGGCGCGACAAGCGCGAGTTCTCCATTTTCGGCGCAGAGCGCATCAGGCGCGACAAGCGCGAGTTCTCCGGCCGCTCCTCCGACGACTCCTCCTCCGACCGCGACTCATGCGGCACCGGCTCCACTAGCGAGGCGAATGACATATTCGACACCCTCGAAGACCATCTCGGCTACGGTTCCGACTCCGGCTCCGGCTGGTAGTCGACAAGCTGCCGAGCGCAAATCACTCTGTGTGACACATTTCTTGTTGGCTTCTAAAAATCTCCTCCTGAAAGGACAAACAACAGCACAACAACACAGACAGGCGACAGGGCCGAACGTGTGAGACTATCCTGTGTTCGTGCGCTAAGACTTGGAGCACTTGGAGCACTTGGAGTGCAGTCAGTAACCTCACATCCAGGGCCGGGGAGCTGAGAAGCGCACCCAGCGGGCCGGATGATCGGGATAGGGCTACGGGCTAGAGAGCCCTGACCCCTAGGGGGGGGTGCGCGTTCGCAGGGAAAGGGCCTTAAAGTAAACACAGTTCTCCGAGAGGGCTCCGTGTACCGGGTTTCCCCTTAACTGCAGAACGCCCCCTCTACTCGGAACTAGTGGACACGGACACTACGACAGCATCCAAAATTCTTTTCAGAAGACCCACTTTTGGCACGCCGGCTATCTCGCTGCAGCACGCGACGATGGCGCGTGGTCAGGGCAAGAGCGGTGGCGCGCGCGGCGGCGCACCGGACTGGCTCAGCCCTCGGGAGGACGTGCCGGTGCAGCAGCAGCAGCGTGGAGGCGACGAGAAGCCGAGACGGCGCAGGAAGGGTGACGAGGACGAGGATGAGCCTCCGAGCAAGGGCATCCGGTGGGGGCCGATCTTCTTCCTGATCATGATGACTCTGCCCGCCGCGCTGCCGATGCTGCTCGACGTGGTCGGCAAGCTGCAGGCGATGGGCGTGATCGACGTCCCCGACCCGTCGGCGGTCTTCTACCCAAACAAGTATCGGCCATGCCTGGTGGAGTACTATGCCGACTGGGCGCCCGAGAAGCTGGGAGGGGTGGACGATGCGCTCGCCAAGTACGAGGGCAAGGAGCGGCAGCTTTTCGGCAAGCTTCATCGCAAGTACGGCAAGAAGGTAAACTTGGCCAACTGCAAGTAGCAGTGCCGCCACTAGGGGTAGGGGAGGTGGAGAGTTCAGAGTGACTAAAGAGTCGTGTCAGTGCGCTTTTGCAAAAGCTACAAAGTATCCATGGCACCAGCGGCATGGCCACTGCTTGGCCGCGCCCTCGCACGTCGCAGAGACAGACGGAGTCGGCGGACGGAGCGAGAGGTCTGCCGGAGAGCCAGACGCGCGCACACCGCAGTGTCCAGTGAATTTCAGTGCGGCAGTGATCCGCGCGTGTCGTACACGCCGACACAGCGCGCTCTAGAACTTTGCTCAGACACATGCCATGCATGCATGTGGCCATGTGCGCAGACAGCCAGACGAGTCCAGAGATTGGGACGCATACAGCGATCTCGGTGCGGGTGCTGGTGCAGGATGTGTGTGGCGCGAGGTGAGCAAGCAGTACGTGGACGGCAGCTTCAGGGCGCGGCGGTCCTCAGAGGAATTCGAGGTACATGTGCCGCCACGCCTCTCGCCGCGCGAGCTCGAGCGCCTTCTCGTCCGCCTCGCCCCCCGCACCGCCGCGCTGCCTGTCCCTCTCCTGGAGGCTGTCCCGGAGGCCCTCCAGCAGCTCGGCCTCCTTGGTGGCGAGAGCGGCCATCTCGCCCCTCTTGACGCCCACGAACCAGCGGACCAGCGTGGGGCCGAGGCGGCGCACCATGTCCTCGTCCGCCTCGAGCGCCTTGAGCGCGTCCTCGAGAGAGGATGGCAGCGGCACGGCGCCCGCGCCGCCGCCGCCGCCCACGCCGCCGCCGCCGCCCGCGCCACCACCGCCCACGCCGCCCACGCCGCCACCGCCGCCCTCGCCACCGCTGCCATTCACCGCCGCCTCGCCGCCGCCATTCGCCGCTGCCTCGCCGCCATTTGCGGAGGCGCCGCCTCTCCCCTTGCCCGACGGGTCGCGCGGCGGCGGGAGCTGCAAGCCCCGCTCCATCCCATCCAAGCCTGCGGGCGCGGAGAGGGTAGTCGTGTCGTGGACGTGTCGTGGACGTGTCGAGGACGTGTCGTGGACGTGTCGTGGTCGTGGACCAAAGTGGCAGCGGCGGGGCAAGTGGGCAGGTGGCGCGGCGGTGACTGCGAGGTGGCGGTGAGCGGCGGCAACGGCATGTCACGGCGGCGCTCGCGCTCGTGCCTGCGGCGACGAGCGCAGCGACGACGAGGTAGGCGTTGGCCGAGGCGGAAGGCATGCGCAGCTCGAGGTAGCACTCCCTGCCCGAGCCGCCCTTCTTGACCCGCACCGCCGCCAGCCGGTCCTCGAGCCCCCACCTGCAGAGTACTCCGCGTGTGGAGCCGCCGCCGCGCCGCCGCCGCTCGCCTCTCTACACCCCTCCTTTCTCAGCTCCCCTCCCCTCTCCTCTCCTCTCCTCCTTCCCCCACCCCCCACCCCACCACCCCCCTCCGCACGTCGCGTGCGTCGGCGCCCAGTTGCCGTGCCGCGCATAACAGGGCACCGTGGGCGAGCACAGCGCCTCGAGGGCGGGGGCGTGCGCCAGGATGCCCGCGAGGAACGCGCGTCCGAGCGGAGAGAGGCCGGCGGGGGCGGCCGCGTCGTGGAGGGCGTTGCGCAGGCCCTCGGAGCAGAAGCCGCCGCCACCGCCTCGCTCGTCGCCTTTGCCGACGTGGCAAGGGCCTCGCTCAGCCCCCTCGCGGCCAAGCGCGCCGCTCGCAGCCTCCGCGCCCTCCGGCTCCCACAGGCTAAAGTTGAAGTGGCCGCCGTTGCCCGGGCCGGACAGGCTGAACGGCTTGGTCATGAAGGTGGCCGTCGCGCCGAACTGCATCGCCACCTCCTTGACCGCCGTCTTAAAGGTGGAGGCGTCGTCCGCAGCGCTGACGCCCCAGGAGGGCGAGACAGTGATCTCGAGCTGGCCGTCGCCGTACTCTGGGTTCATGGTGCGCACGTCGATGCCCGCCGCCTCGAGCTGCTCCTCGAGCGCGTAGCAGAAGCCGGCCACCTTTGCAAGATCGACCCGCCACTCAGTCCCGCGGGCTCCTGGTGGGCGGAGCGCGGTGGCAGGGCCGGGAGATACCGGGAGATACGAGATACGGGAAGATCCGGGGAGATACGCTCGAGATACGGGCAGATACGGGAGATACGGGCAGATCGGGGCAGATACGGGGAGATACGGGGAGATAGAGGGAGATACGGGGAGGTGAAGGCAGGGCGGTCGCCTTCGCCGCCTGCAGCGTGACGAAGATCTCGGGGCCGCTGAAGAGCGGCTCCCACCTGCTCGCACGCACCGCTCGCGCTTGGTGGGAAGTGGTGCCGTCCCCGCGCCCCGTCGCCCTCGGCCAGGGACGGCGCCGCGCCCGTCCCGCGTCGCGAGGCAGAACTCGTACTCGGCCGCCGCGAGCAGCCGCAGCCCTCGGCCGCCGTGCGCCTCGAGCTGCTCGAGCAGCCGGCGGCACGCCTGACCACGCAACGGCACGCGGTCAGCCGCAGTCCTTCTCGCAGCGCCCGCGGAGGGCTCGAGCGGCGGCGGCAGGCCGTGCGCGGGAGGGCGGCGTTGAGCCCGCCGCCCGGCTGCTCCTGCTCGCAGTAGACGCGCCGCACAGCGACGGCTGGCCCACCGCGCACCTCTGGGGAGGTGGAGGAGGAGGTGGCGGAGGCGGAGGCGGAGGGGACGGCGGCGGCGGCGGAGGAGGAGGAGGTGGCGGGGTAGGGGGGGGAGGAGGGGGAGGAGGCCCACGGCAGCAGCCTCTCCGTCTCCCAGCGAGGCACCAGCCGCGAGTTAGCGTAGCCCGCCGCCTCGACCTGTGGGGCGTGTCTCGGACATGTCGTGGACGTGTCCTGGACATGTCCGAGTAGCCCGCCGCCTCGACCTGTGGGGCGTGTCTCGGACATGTCGTGGACGTGTCCTGGACATGTCCGAGTAGCCCGCCGCCTCGACCTCGGCAGGCACGGTGAGCACCTAAAGACATGTCCCGGACATGTCATGGACGTGTCCTGGACATGCCTCGACCTCGGCAGGCACGGTGCGCACCTCCGAGTTTGCCCCAAGGCCGATGGCGCCGTAGTACAGGTAGACAGCGTCGCCTGGGGACGCAGCTCCCCCTTCCTCGTGAAGCAGGCGCCACTCCCCTTGGGCGAGGCGGGGGGCAAGGCCGGCGTCTCGCTCGCCCGCATGCCGCGCCGGCACAGTCTTGCACAGCGCCTTGCCGTTCAAGTCGACGACTTCGAATCGGACGTACTCGCGCGGCGGCCGCGGCGCCGCGGCGGTGCGCGCCGCCGCCGCACTCGCCGCCGCCGCCGCACTCGCCGCCGCCGCCGCTGCCGCCGGATTCGCTACCGCCGCCGCAGCCGCGGCCCCCTCTGGCGGCGGCGACGTGCCGCCTCCGAGCTCGAGGGCGCGCATCTCTGCGAGGAGGGCGGTGAGCGGCACCTACAGACATGTCCCGGACATGTCATGGACGTGTCATGGACATGGCGCGCATCTCTGCGAGGAGGGCGGTGAGCGGCACCTGCCTGCAATAGCCGCGGTTGTGGCGCAGCGACGCGAGCTGCCGCTCGCGCGAGTGCGTGTAGCAGCAGTCGGGGACGCACGTGACGAGGAAGCCTATCTCGGGTCATCCCTCGGGTCATACCTCGGGTCATATCTCGGCGGCGATCTCGGGCGATCTCGGGCGATCTCGGGCGATCTCGGGCGATCTCGGGCGATCTCGGGTGCGTCTCGCGCCGAGATCGCACGCGTCGCGGACGGCGGAGTCCACGCACTGGTCGGTGAGGCCGCCCACGAGCACCACCTGCTCGCAGCCGAGGTTGCGCAGCTTGTAGGCCAGGTTGGTCGAGATGAAGACGGAGGAGGAGCACCTATGCGGAGGTGGACGGCCCGTCAGCTTAAGAGAGAGGAGTTGCGCGACCGGGACCACCACGGCCGGCCCGCACTTTGGCAGCACCATCTCGTCGGCGGCGGGCTGCAGGGCGGCCAGCACCTGCGCGTCCTCCGAGCCGCGAGGCACGTTGAAGCCGGACACCTTGTAGTCGAGGCTGCGGTCTCGCCCGTCGGCGGTCAGGCTCTCGATCACCGTGAAGATGCACTCGACCGACGACTGGCGCGCGGCGCCGAGCAGCGTGGCGATGTTGTCGACCACGGCAGGGAGCGTCTCCCGCAGGTAGTCGGACGGCTGGTTGCTGCCGTCTCTCCAGCAGCCGCCGCGCTCGAGGTCGCAGCAGAAGGTCTGCATATCTATCACGACCACGGCCGTGGACCGAGCGCATCGCAGCGGTATCTCGCGGCTCACCCTTGCGGCCGCCTCGATCGCGGCGCTGTGCCTCACCGTGACCGAGCTAGCCGTCAGAGCTGCGTTGCCGGCCGACGTCGTACGAAGTCGCCGCCTCTGCCACACGAGGAGAGCGACGATGGCGGGCACCTGGAGGAGCACCGCCGTGCGGAGCGAGACGGTGGCAGGCAGCGACATTGTATGCCAGAAAATCGCGTCTGCCCGAGGAAAAAGAATTTAGAGCCCTCTCTCACAGGAAAAAATAACTTTTTTTCAAGGGTTGCCCGGCCGGGTTGCTGCGCAAATCTCGCGCTGCGCTAGGCTCAGAGCGAGTTCGCGCTGCGCTAGGCTCAGACGGCGTGCGTGCGCGGGCCGCCGGGGTGACGGCGGGTGAGGACCCCACCTCCTTCCTCGGGCTCGGCAGCTTGTCGGGCCGCTCTACCACTACCACTACCTCAGCCCTCAGCCGAAGCTGGGGCCGGTCCCGTAGGCCGTCCGTAGCCGAGAGCCCCCGCGTCCCGATGAATGGTATTGGTCGTCGAACGGCGGACGGGCGCGGGCGGCGCGGGGGGTGGCGGGGCGAGACGGCGCAGCATTCCCAGCCCCTTTGCCAAAGGTCCCTGTTTGAGGGCATTAGGAGAACGGAGAGAGATCCCTTTTGGTCCTCCTTTGAAGCTATTTACACACGACCTCACGCTGGAAGTGGCGAATCGATGCGAGCGCGCCGCGTGCCCCCGCGCGGCGCGT